CCCCAAAACCCCAAAACCCCAATTGCTAAATTCTACTGTGTTAATTAATAAAGAAGCTGTACTATATTTATCAATATTGATATTAATAAAAATGAGCCAAGCTAAAAATAAATAAGATATTGACCTCAAGCAATATCTATTGGAAGATTATAACACAAACGAAACTTCTAGTAATTGAATATCAATAATTAATCATTTAACGTTACAGAACTGATGAGAGATTAGAATAGTAAAAGCATAGAAGGAAAGCAAAAAGGATTAAACGTTTACTAGGCGGCTTAAGCATTTGTTTCTACAATAATTGGAGCTGGTGTTGTGACCATTCCATATGTCTTTGCTTAAGCTGGGTATGTTGTAGGAATAGCAATGCATCTAATTATGATAGTTGCTCTCAATTTCTCAGCTTATCTACTGCTGAAGTCTAGAGAGTACTCTGGCTTTGAATCATTTGGTGAGATTGCCTATTTTTGCATGGGGAGACCATCTGTTTTTATTACTAACTTTATTATTACATCTGCTACATCTTTAATTGTAGTGATGTATGGAATGCTTTTTAGTAAAATATGCGTCTCATTTGCACTTAACCTGTATGGGAGTTAATATGATGTTACTAATGATACCTTAGCTTTGATTTTAACTTCTAAAGTTTTCTATGTGTTTCTGCTATTCTTGATTTTATTGCCTTTTGTGATTAAAAAGAGCATTAAGGATTTAAATATAGCTGGCAAATTTTTATTCTTTGGTCTCACCTCACTTATTGTTTTGTTATTTGCTAAGATTAACTTTAAAGAGTAATTTAGTAGCCCAAGTGATAAAGTGTTAGAGCCTTATAAATAAGGTTCACTTGCAGACTCTGTTTTCATTGTACTTACAGCATATGGATTTATGATGAGCTTTTTCTCAATCTTTTCATAGCTTTAAGTGAAGAAAAATTCAAACGCTTAAAAGTCTTTGTTTCTTGGTATGATTACTTGCTTTGTTATTTTTATGGCACTCTCAGTATAAGCTGTAACCATTTATGGTGAGAATCTCTAGCCAAATCTTTTCGATAACATTCAAGTTGAAACTAACATTCCATCTCTTATAATGAGAGTTTTATTTTTGCCAATCTTTGTCTTTAATGCTCCATTTGTGTTTCTTGCAGGCAAAGAAAGTTTACTTATGCTTATTGAAGATCTTACTAGTGATTTTATCTCAAATAGTATTAAGAATAGATTAGAATATTTGAGAAACAAAAAATCCTATACTCTAATTGCTGGTGATATGAATGAAAGTTCATTTATTAATGCTAATGATGATGATTAAGACAAACTAGCAAATCCAAGAGTGAATATATCAGATAGAGTATCAAATAAGATTTACTATTCAGCAGTAATCATTCTTTTTACATTTCAAATGTTCTTAGCATATATGATTGATGACATTACTATTATTATTGGATTTTTCACTGCTATTGCTGAATCTTCTGTCAATTTTATTCTGCCTGGATTATTTTTCATTTTAAGCTCTAGAATGACTCATAAAAAGATCAATATTTTGACATTGATAGGTAGTTATTTTTATGTAATATTGGGAGTGAGTCTATTCTTTTTTGCAATGTATAAGAATATAACAAAGATTACCTAATTAAAATCTTGATTTGAAATTATTTAATACTTGATTTTTTAATAAAAATAAAATACATGGGGTTTTGGGGTTTTGGGGAGATCGGAAGAGCGTCGT